ACCGCGCTGCTGCCCTCCATGCTGATGTTCGGGGTGATCCTGGCCTCCAGCGGGCTGCTCCTCATGATCGAGAAGGGGATCCTGGCCGAGGTGAAGCCGCTGCACCCGGCGGCGGGGGAGCTCTCCCGGCGGGGCGGGGGCGGCCAGGAGGCCCCCGGCGACCTGGAGTACGAGGTGCTGCGGGACATCCGCAACCGCACCATCCGCGCCGTCTGCGGGCAGCGCGCCATGCCCCGCAGCGTCTGGGAGCTGCCGGCCGGCCAGCGGCGGACGGTGCTCCGGCACCTCCTGGTCAGCGACAAGTACCGCTTCTTGTACTGCTACGTGCCCAAGGTGGCCTGCTCCAACTGGAAGCGCATCCTGAAGGTGCTGGACGGGGCGCTGGAGAGCGTCGACGTCAAGCTGAAGATGGACCACAAGAGCGACCTGGTGTTCCTGGGGGACATGAAGCCGGACGAGATCAGCTACCGGCTGAAGAACTACTACAAGTTCATCTTCGTGCGAAACCCCATGGAGAGGCTGCTGTCGGCCTACAGGAATAAATTTGGGGAGATCAAGGAGTACCAGCAGAAGTACGGGGTGGAGATCGTCAGGCGGTATCGGAAGAACGGGGGGAATTCGGCGGGCGACGACGTGACCTTCTCCGAGTTTCTCCAGTACCTGCTGGACGAGGAGGTGGAGAGGATGAACGAGCACTGGATGCCCATCTACAACCTCTGCCAGCCCTGCGCCGTCAGGTACGACTTCATCGGCTCCTACGAGCGGCTGAATGCGGACGCCGACTACGTCCTCGAGCGAGTCCAGTCGCCCTCCTTCGTCCGCTTCCCCGAACGGCAGTCGTGGTACAAGCCCGTGACGGCCGAAACGCTCCATTACTACCTGTGCAACACCCAACGCCGGCTGATAAAAGAGTTGTTAACAAAATATATCATGGATTTCTCCCTCTTTGCCTACCCCCTTCCCAACATAACCAGCGAATTCTGCAGGCAATGAGTCGTTCGTGTCGGGATCTGGTGTAAACTCTGCCCGCGCTGCACGGATTTGCTAATGCAGCCATTGCTGTGAATAGCACGTTGCTGCAGGACCTGTGAAACACGCTCTTCTATGCATTATTTCCTAATTTTATACTTTTCAAACACTGTTTATATAAAATACTATTTTATTTAGCCTTTGCTACTAGAACACTTTTTGTATTGTTCTGATGTTGATGTGTACATATGCCGCTGACTTGAGCACAGTAGCTTTTGTATATCTGTTTTGCTTTAAACTCTTTCTTAGAGCACGACACGGACAACATCTGTAAGGAAGTTGAGAAATGGATATATTTTAAGTACTTTTTTCTTCCTTTTTGGTTTTGTACTAAATAGCACGCACCTGAATTGCAATCATAATAGAGCAGTTGGTGCGCTAATAGCAATCAGTCGTTGGTGCGCTAACAATTAGCGCTGTTAAAAGTGGTCCTGGATTAGACAGGAGGTAGTTTTTTGGGCGTGAGCAGAAGAAAAGGCTTTCATAAACTAGGCCCTATTTATTCTTTATTTTCTCATCTGTAGATGGTGGTTAAATGAGGCTGGTCTTTTTTTCTCTGACAGTGGTACCTCTGAGTTTTACTACTATTATTATTTATTATTTACCATTGACATAAAACTAGTGATAATGTTCACGTTTGTGCGATTTTAGGATTTGAAAGTACCAACTATTTACTCAGCAGAACGTATCGGAGGCAATGCCAAGCCATAACAACTTGGTCTTTTCTCTCTCTTTGAATTAAAGCAATACGGACTTCTGGGAAGATGAAAACCTGCCCTGCTGCTTAGGACAGAAAGCAGCGACCCCGCCGGCAGCGTGGCTGCGTGCCCGCGGGCATGCAGGCCGCCGCGGGAAAACGCCTTCTCCGGCCGCGTTTGGAACGACGGCGGTTTGAGGATTGGTTCTCCCTTCTTTTATAGATGGGCACAGCGTTTTTGTAGGTGTTTGTATTTAATTACGGCCGTTAAATTGTAACAGTCTGGGAGATAACGGAGAATGTTGCTCCTGGGAGGCCGTGTCCTCGTTTCTAATAAAGTTTTCCTATGAATTAGTCTGTTACTTAGTGCTTTTCCTTCGATGTTAGTGTTTATTTGCGTTCTTGCAGAGGCTTTGTGCCCCTCGTGCTGAGCCACGGCTCGAAAGTATGATGCACGGGCAGTTCCTGCCTTGATTAATTTGTGTTTTAAATGCCAGAGCAGTGGTAACAAGTGGAGAAAGAAACGCATCCGAGCCGAACGACGAGACGATTACGCGACACGGGCGACTGGATGAAAAGCAGCAGTCAGCAGCAAAACGGGCGCCTGACTGCTGTGGGGCTGCTACAAAGCGGTGGGGATGGATTATAGGTGCTGTGGGGAGCTGGTGGTTTCCCGGGATTAACCTCTCAAAAAGGGGGAAGGAAAATTAAGGTGTTTTCTTTAGGATTTGTGAAATTGTTTGGAAAAAGGGCATGGAGCCACATCCAAGCAAACTCAAAGCGGTGGAATGAAAAGTCCTGCCTAGGGCACGACTTCAGTAACTTAATAGATTTATTGTACCTATAAACTCCCGGCGAAATCACCCTCTCCCTCTGCCGAAGTCAGCAGCCCAGCGCGGTTTGAGTTGAGTGATTTTTACCTTTGATAACGGGATCGTGGCTGGGCACGAGAGCCATGACTGGGGCGTTGATGGCCGTCAGCTCCCGCCTGCGTCCTCGCCTCTGCAGCTGCCTACCCTCTACAAAAAATGGGTCAGAAATTGCCCTTGCTCTCCTTGCGCCCCGTCCGAAACCTGCACGATTCCCCTCTGTCCCCTGCGATCTCGGTGCCAGCGCAGGAATGTTTGGTGCCCGGTGCTGGAGGAGCTGGGAGCTGTCTTGTTCTCCGGCCAAAGGCACCAGATACCAGCTGGAAATCTGATTTTATTGTGTAAAACAGATGCTGCTGGTGGGGCGGTCTGAGTTTTAATTAAGCCTGACCTTCAGGTCTCTCTAACTAGGAATAAGCTGGTTAGACTTCACTGTCTCTCTCTGCTTCTGTGAAGCTGAGGGAATGTTTCCTGCTTGTTCAGCGACTGGGTTTTTAATTAAATGTTTATTTCTCAGTAGTTTTAAAGGTTTGTGCCCCTTGTTTGTTTATCTGCTGCAGCTTCTGTTCTCGATATTGAATTTTTTGTCTCGTCTCCTTAATCTAATTTATCGCATGCAGAGGGATTTTGCTTTTCTTTTACTGCCTCTTACTCCTTTACTGGATATCGTTGATCACCTTTTTCTCTTTAAATAAAAGCAAATGGCCTCCCACCTCCTTCTACCCTCCCCTAAGGAGGGTTTTAACGCAGGCAAAACCTCGTAGCTTGGGCAGAAGTTTTTCCCGTACCTGGCAAAACCGTACGGAGCACGGAAAAGTCTGCCAAAAGCTGAAGCGGGGGGCGTTTTGTCATGTGCCTCTAAAGCTCATTTCTCCTACTTGATCAAGGTTACGGACTACCTTTGATTTTCTTATCTCTTTGCTGCAGGTCAGCAAATATGAAAGATCAATTAGGTTTCCAAGAGCGGTGCTTCGTTTTATCCGCGGCCGATAACGCTGTTTCCTGAGAAAGCTTTTGGCCAAGCAGGAAGAAAGAAGGTAATCTCCCTCCGCAACTGTACCGGTTCCTCCTTCGGTCAGGTTTTTTTGCGGCGTGGGGTGAATCAGGAGCGAATTCCGCAGCTGAGGGCAGCGGCTGGAGGTGACGGAGGCCGAGCGGGACCCAGCCCCGCGCTGCGGGGAAGGGGGCACCGGCTGCCAAGGCGGGAGGGGGATTGCGCAGCGGCTCCCGTACCGATGAGGAGGAAACCATGAAGTTATAAACTGTTCTGCTTGACTCAAGGTGTGGAACGCTGCTGCTTTCCGATCTGTTCCAGTTTGGCAGCTCCTTTTGCCACCTTTCCGCCTCCACGCTTGCAGTCGCCCAGCAGAATAAAAAGGTGATCTTTTCCCTTGTGATTTGTTATGTTTTATTAAGCCTCAGCACTGTGCCGAATGCCCCAGACTTGCCCAAGTAACCAACTTGAGGTTTTGGCATCAGGGTTTTGTCACTGCATTGCCCTCGCTTGCTTTTTCTAGTTTCGTGCCGATGAAGCCTAGCCCCGGCCCTGCCGTCCTCCTGCTTTCCCTGGGGAAGCAAGCCTGGATAGGTGGAGACGCTCCAGCAGTTTAATTCCACCTCGTTATATGGAGAACTCCCGATTCCTCTAAATTACCACAATGTCATGTTATGTTATTTGCCTTTAGTCCCTTCTTAGCCTGCTTACCTGAAAACAAACAAAAAAAAGCGTTTTACGTGCTCACGAATTTTGCCATTTATGTGCATGTGTTTATTCCTCCGTCCCTGGCAGCTCCAGGACCTGCTAATCCATTTCCACCGAAGTGGAGGGGAGAATTTATTTTACTGCACCCTTTCGTTGCTCGCGGCCCCTGTGATGTTAGCGCGGTGTCGCAGAAAGGAATCCGGTGCTTTGCTCTCGTCGTGCGAGTGCTGGTGATGAACGGGGACCTGGTGATTTCGCTTTCCCTCGAATCAGTGCCTGCGCAACGCCCAGAGCCGCCTGCGCTTGCCCGCTGCGATGTGGAGCGATGCTGTGTGCCCAGAGGTCCCGTCAGTCCCGCAGATGCTGACACCATCCTCTGCTAATATTTTTCTACCAGAGAAGCAATCAGCTCTTTCCACCTCCGGGCCATTTGCACCCCCGTACGGTGAGGAAGGCACCTGAACAGTTGATTTTATCCCTTGCTTGGCTGCTAATTGCAGGGAAACTTCCAAGGTGTTTTACAAGTGCTTTCATCACTTGTTCAGGAGATGCAGTGATCAGAGAAGGCAACGGATGGGAAAAAGTCTGGCAGGGAAAAATCTCTCTCGTAAGGTCAAGTTCCCCAGGTTCACGTTGCCAAATTCCTGGCTGGTGACGTGGTTAGTTTGGAGGTAGTCCCCCTCGGTGCACGTTTGGTCCTGGCCTGCTTGCTGGCACCAGCTGTGCCTAACTCCAGGCAGGAATACATTCCTGCATTGTATTATATATATTATGAGGAATACATAGAGTTAACCACGTGAGGTTTTGTGCTGGAGAGAGGACAGGGGCATAAAATCCTGTTTCTCAGGGATTTAGCAGTCCAGCATGAGAAGATACTGCCCACCGCCGCTCGGTGGAGTGTCTTCCACCCTGTCCCGTGTATCCCTGTTGTCCACTTCGCTCACATCTCGTTTTGCCAAAAGGAAAAAAGACCCAACAGCAAGCAAGCACTGTTTTCCAAAGCCAATTACCAGCTTCCTAAATTGTTGCAACTCCCCGTTACAGGATGCCATCGCAAAGAATTCCCTGTCCATGCAGGCACGCGTTTATGCCGTGCTGATTTCTATGATATCTCTCTGCTTTGGAAGTTCATTGCAGTCAGATGGTTTATCTACATACAAACATGAAACAGCGCTTTCTTGCCCCACAAAGAACTAAAAATAGGCAATTGCAACGTGTCACGATTTTTTTTTATTATTATTCATTCCCGGGGTTATTTCTCATAGTTCATCTGTTATACCTGAGATTGAGTTACTTGCTCATGGAGAAGTCTGGTTAAGGTGATCCTCCTGTGAAATGAGAGTCGTGTGTTCAGTTGCTTAATGACCAGTGGGAAAGACCTCGATTTCTGCGGCGCTGGGAGTCCTGGAGCTCTGGGCCCTGCCGTCAGGAATGACCGCCGGCACGCGGGAGAACCTCTGCACGTGGGAGGGAAGGTCCCTGCTTCCCGGTGATGAACCAGCGCGCAGGGCGTTTTCTGAGCGGCGGGGGAAATCGATCCCCGTTCTGTCTCTGTGTTGTTTAAATGATTGCAGCGAACGTTGAGTACCTCCAGCATCGAGCTTGGACTGCAGCGGTGGAGAGGAAGGGAGCTGCAGGTTTGGTGTTCCCCTTTGGACGAGGGAGCGGGACAGGTCAGGACCCTTTGCTGTTTCAA